AATACAATTTAATTTAACCATTAAAACGGAGTCTAGAAAAATTAAAACGGAAAAAAAGGAATCGGATTCCCTATGTTGTACAGGATTGATTGGGGGAGGGGCTGAAAAACAAGAGGGCTTGATGATGTCAGCTGACAAGGAAATTCGTTTCAGAGGTGGAGCAAGTTATTACATTTTGATTAAAGATTACAAAGCCACATGTTTTGTCTTTGGCATAACATGAACAACAAGGACTGCGTATTAAGAAAGTAATTTTTTATTTTAAAAACTAAAACCTCTAGGCTTTCCATAGACTAAGTCTGAGAATAAAAATACAAGGACACTATTTATTCTAAATCACACCCAGACAACTATAATTGTGACATATGACTGAACTGAGGCATAAAGTGAAACAGAGAGGAAAAAGACAAGGAGACGCCAAACCATGCGGTGAGTCACACAACAAACCTCTGAATGACAACGCTTCTCACAGTGAGATGAAGGGCATTACCCTGGCACAACCTAGTCACATTAAAAGCATGACAGAAGTGATAGACAACTCTAGGGAACTTCACACACACTTTCTTCAGTTCTGTGGAACTTTTAATCCTTGTTTTAAGTCCTTTCATACTGCATCTTCTATATGTGTTTTGGTAAAAAGGGTCTTCAGACTTAAAAAAACAAAACATATATTTTGCAACAAGACCATTGTGATTTTCACATTTTAAAATAATTTTCATGACAAATAAACATGGTCTCTACAAATTCTTCTTACTGTAATGCATGCACAAATTTTCAACTAAACTGCAAATTGTAAAGTGTAATTCCCATTATGTCAATGATGATTTGTGATTCTCATTAGATCCTAAATATTACACAGTATTTTTAAACCACAATAAATGGTAAAACAAATTATGTATTATTTTTTTATGTACTGCAGTAATAATTAAAAAAATAATAATTAGGGATGAGTGATACCATTTAATTTGTTTTCAACATGGACAAATCACAGATACCACTATTGATAGCGCTAATTAAACTGACATTTTTGAACGCCACATTTAATACATTTTATAATCCAAAAACACATCAAAATTTCTAATATTTCAGGACCAAGCTATCCTCTCTAATTATTCATCACTACAGTAATGAGAAAGCAATAGCTAAAATATGTAAGGATCTAAAACACGCTACATTTCCTTTAAGCACAAGACAATATTTTTTTCATTAGACTTTGCAATTACATATAGACTTAATCTAGACAGGCTTTGTGAGATTCACGCATCTAAATGTCAAGTAACCAGTTATGCAAATGCAAATGTTGCAATAACAAGTACATGTAATGATATCCTTAGATTACGATCCTGGACTACCACCATGGAGCAAGACACTTAACCCAAGGTTACTCCTAAGGGACGTGGCAGTAAAAGTGGACTAGACCTAAAAATAAACCCCCAAGAAGAGCCATAATAAAACAGCAGATCAAACCAATGAAGAATCTGTATCAATCCACACAAGAAATCTTTTTTAAAGGGTAAGGGGAGTCCTTTTGATTTCCTCAGTGAATTTGCATTCCACAAATGCCACTCGCCACCACAAAATGCCCAGAGTCTGCAAAGCCCTGCACCACCATTACATCCTGCTAGAGTCATACCTAAGAATCGTATGCATGATCCTTGCACATTTATTAATTACCAAGCAATGATATCAGCTTATTACCATCAGAAACAGACATTGAACAGCAGTCTACTGCAGTAAACATAAGACTACAGCTCTAATTGTACTTTCCTCTCTACCTCATTCCATCAGACACAGCGCAAGCTTAAATATTTCATTTGGCTGCTTGCAACGAGTGGAAAAACTTGGAATTTGCCGGAGCGCTGATCCTGGAGGCACATCAAACATGGCCGCTGTCATCTTGTGTTTGTTTAGCTGTTTGCATCAAGCTAAATAAAAGTGACCTAGAGGATTACAGCAGAAATGTTGTCATCCGTTACCAATAACAAGACCAAGATAGGTTCAGAAAGCATGAGATCCTCTTCATCTCCAACATGATTCAGTAAGCAAAAACTAACTTGCTAAACTGTACTTAAATGTTTAATAAAGCATTTGATTAAACACGCCAAAAAATTACAATTCTGTCATTATTTACTCACTCTTTGTGTCTTCTGAAACCTGTACGACTTACTTTCGCATAACACAAAAGGAGGTATTTATAGCAATCTGCTCTTTTATATTCAAACTGAATGGCTGTTAAGCAACACGTTCAGTGAATAAGTTACATTTCTTTCAAAGCTATTGTACGGCTTCAGAAGACTTGAAATACAACACACAAGTTACTTTAATGGTGCATTATGGGGATTTTTTTGTGTTTTTGGAGCTTGTTATTCTCCTTTTGTATTTCACAGAAGAAAAAAAAAGTCATACAGGTTTCGAAAGACGTGAGGGTGAATAAATTAATTTGGATTTCTGGGTCAACGATCCTTTTAAGAAAGTATAATGACAAAATTGTACAAAGTAATGAAGGGTGTAAGATCACTAGGAACTGGCCATACTTAAAAGTGGGCTCAGGAATCACAAATTGAACAAATTATCACAATAATCCAGCAATAATACTACATTAAAGCATTTAGCCTGGAAAGGTTGTGCATTATAGTGATTTTTCCTCAGTTAAATGGCTTGCACTGGACATAAAAAAGCTGTACACTGTTAAAAAACAACAACAAAAAAGGTTATTCGAAGTTGTTATCAGAGTATGTTTTATAAGAAAATAACTTTTTAGTTTTTCTACTTCAGAATCACATTTAATTCAATGTGTTACTTATGTTTCACAAACAGTTACAATGAAACGTAATAGCAATTACCAAGTGAAAACTGTTTCTACACCAAATTTTGTTCGGTGTACATGTACAACAGCCATTGCTAATTTTTTTTTTAATAATAATAAAAAAAAACATCAGAGAGACATTAAAAGGCTTTCAACCAATCAGGATGCCTTGATTCCAGAAAACCGAGTTGCACTGTGGTGCAGCTAGGTTAATCTCGTATATAGTGCAGCACTGAGAACCGGCGGGAAGCTGCGAGATGACAGCAGGTCAGTCATTGTAAAAGTTTTATCCTCATTCCAACCCACGGCGCAGTGAAAATAGCTCATTTAAGGGTGCAACAGCAACCAGGGAGGAAAATGGGCTCTTTCTATATGTGAGAGCCAGACATCTCCACAGCCCCACAGACGAATCTCCCAGTCTCACAGACTGCTGCTTCCTCCCACAACCGCACTGCTGGGTCATGATGAATGCTACAACATCCTGCTGCATACCTGGAGGTTGATTTCACTGCACGGTATGCTTCATTGTGGAAAGCATTCCCTGAGGTCACCAACAGAAACTTTCACAGAGACAGACCGATCATCAGGTTGACTAATGTTTTTCATCGATATTCATATTTTTGATTCTTCAACATCGGGTCTTACTGCCATTTGGTGGGTCTTTAAAAAACATCACACAACAACACAACTAAGAGTTCAACAGGAAACGGCAGCGTTCACAGGAAACGCAACTTACTTATTGTTTGCATAAATTACTCATCTTTTATGCAACAACCATTCATTCTGAAGTAAGAAATGAGTAACATTTAACAGTCACAAGCCAAATAAACGAAAAAAAATATATAAATATTGGCAGTCATTAATATAAACATCCATAATGCATATCATGTCTTTAACATCGCACTAAAAATAATTAGGCCTAAGCTATTTATTAGTGTAAAAAATAGTAATAACACAATAACTAAAAGTCATCATATTGTACATGTAAAAAACATTTGTATATTGGTTAAAATATTTTAAAAATTTTAATATTTTAATTTTCTAAAGTGAAACCTGTACTTCATGGGTACAGTGAAGATATATATTGTGAAAATTCATAGTACTCACAAATTACAGTTTGACAATATTTTTTGTAGGACAATACCAAATTCAAAGATTTAATTTTCAAATAATAGACATGAAGAACCAATTTTTCATTATTTTACTACTTTGACACAATAACTTGTTACAAGTATAAAAACAAAAGCATACACATTGTGGATAATTTAAAATGTAAACAACTGCAATTTGTAAACAAATTTTAACAATAACCCAGGTTATAAAACGGGGAAGAAAGTCCCAAAAAAAGCCCCAAGAAAGTTGCAGGGAAAAAATGCCATTTATCAGTAGGCCTATATTAAGAAACCGATAACGGATTAAGTTACAGTATCTACAAAATATCGGTCAAACCGACTGTCGGTCAATATATTAACAAAGTTGTTTTTAACAGTACCATCTATTGGCATTTTATAGGTGTGTGTGTAAAATCGATATTACTCTTCATTTTCATAAACACGACTCTATTTGGTTAATCCCCGCTACCTAGTAGCCTAATTAGTGTAATAGTTTACAATGCCACATGGAACAAACATTTCAAATACAACGAAGAGATTAAACCCTTGCAGCCTAACATTAATGTGATTAACGCAACACGATTTCTTAAACCCTCATTTTACATTTGGCGCAAATGGCTCCATAAAAAGTAACGTTACGCTTTAAATTTGCGCGTTTTGTAAATTACTACACCGAATTTATGTCAATAAGCCATATTGTTCGCAGCGCCGATGGCTAATCTTTAAAATCCCTGGATCAGCGAGTATGTAGCCGCGTGTTTTCGCTTTAATAAGCACGCTAACGATAGTCGCAACGCAACTTAGAAAACGTAAACAATGAACGCAAAAGAAATGTAACGATAATTGTTGCGTTCGCGCTCATTATGACGCTGCCCCAGCCTGCTAAAGAACGCAGCGCTGCAACAAAACAACAGTTTCGGCCATAATAAAGAAAAAAAACATGTATTATCTGACAATTAAACACTCTATAGAGTCCTTTTAAACATAAAGCCCACATGTAAAGACTGAAAACCCCAATGACTTACAGCAATAGCGGTTAGCCAGTTTCAGATGAAACTGTGTCGATGTCGCAAATTCCTTACCTGTTAAACGCAACTTAACGGGTCCATTTCTTCTAACTCCTTGATTAGACATGTCCTTGACCCTTATCCAGTCTGATTACTACAGAAAACGAGTCGAATATGTTAGAGTCGCTTTTTGGTTGCCCTCAACGCCAGTTTCACAGTGAACAGAAAAGAATGGAGTCACGGTCCTGTGGCCCGGATGTGCACAGCCCTGCCATGTCTACATACATACACTCTCGCGCCGCGGCTTTAACGCGCTCCTCGTATTTCTAGCGTCTGCGAAAGTAAATCCACGACGTTCCCTCAAAAGGTCGTCTTACAAAGACCTCCTGAAGATCACCGCATTTTCCACGAACGAGCCGCGCTCGGCTTCTGCTGCCGTTTCAAGGAGACCTTGAGGGAATGGTATCGCTACAGGCGACTGGATTGAGGAAATGTGGTTTGTAAGGTGTCTGGCATCTGCTGAGCCACTAAAACCGCCCAAACTGTGACATCACACCCACTTCTTATTCATAGCGCTCCATCTATCTCTGTCTGTCATTATGTGTCTCTATCTATCGTATACTGGAATCACTTACTTTTCCACTTTATTTACACTTAATAAAATAAGTCTTGGATAAACAAGACACGCAAACGAAAAACCACTTGTTCTTTTCCATTTTTTATTTACAACAAATAAAATTGAAACAGATTCGTATGTACAACTCGGAACATGAGGTCCTCACAAAAGACAGACATGAACAAGACGAGTGGTGTGCGGAAATGTTCAGAACAATCATACAAAGATATCACAGTTTAGAGATTTAGAAGTTGAAAGTGCTTTGGCTTTCACTGATCTGGAACGCATAGCCATCGGTTGTCGCTTCGGGGGCAACGCATTCGTCCTCTTCCTCCTGAGAGACGGACATAAAAAGCAGGAATTTAGGAAAAGCAGGGTTTTCTAAGCATAAGAAACAAAGAATGCACAAGGACAGCTAGTTAAAACACTTTCAAGAAGCAGAGTGCGTGTGTACATTTGTATGCATGTATATTTTATAAATAAAATATTTATAATATCTCACATGCATAAATCAAATTCCAAGTAATATATATATATATATAGATTTAACATTCAACCGACCTCTCCAGAGAAATACTTTTCAATGAGGTTGAGGGAGGCCTTGTAGACCATTTCATTTTCATGGGACTGCAAAGCTTCGATTTTGTCCAGGCCGCCATATTCCTCAATCATCAGGGACAGCTTTTCAACCTCACCAATCTTTTCACCAGCCTAAATTAAAAATATAAATAAATAATAAAATGGCAGGTTTGACACTGAAAAAAAAAGAAAAAAAAAAGAGAATAAAATCCCATATTTAAAAGTTACGAGGGAACTACTGTCATTTACATCCAAGTAAAACATTATGGGAAAAAAACAAGTAGGTTCTATGCATCAGTTGTTGAGACGTGGGTCAACAATATATCTATGCATGTCTCAAGATCTATAACATGCATTCAGAAAATAGATATTTCATGTTAACCGAAATCATACCAAAAAGATATTGCTGATTGCATCCAAGATGACAAGAATAGTTTTGCTGTCCTTAGTGGAGAGCAGGTTCAGCAAGGGTTCTAGTATGTTGGCCTGAACAAGGTAAACCACTTGCTCTACTGTGCCTCCGCTGGTGTAGTTGGTCACTGCCCACACGGCCTCCTTCTGGGTCTTGTAGTCACCCTGCATAAAGTATGAGATGAAAATTAGTTCAAAATTAAACATGGTCACAGCTTCACAGACAAGTGTTCTCCTGTGCTCAAGTGGCAACGCACCCGTCGGAGAACTTCCACCAGGTAAGGCACAATGCCAGCATTGATGACCTCCTGAATCTGATAGTCCCTGCCAGCCGTGATGTTGGACAGGGTCCAGGACGCCTCCTTTTGAATGTTGTTCTTATGGTGGCGCAGCAGAGCAGGGAACATGGAAAGAGCGCCAGCACTGATCACTGCCTGGGTCTGGTCATCTGTACCAGTGACGATGTTTCCGATGGAACGCAGTGAAGGAGTCTGTGGGAAGAGTGGAGAAAAAAAAGAAAAAAAAACTTAAAAAAAAAAAAAGTTATCTATAAAAGAACAAATGAGTGTCACAACTTTCCACCAACTTACCACAATGGAGAGCTCGCCTGATCCCAGTAGCTGCACCAGTCGAGGAACCACGCCAGTTTCCACCACAACCTCGATCCTTTCATTGGGCCCATCGGTCAGGTATGAGATTGCCCAGCAGGTGTCCGCCAGCACCTCCTTATCTTCATGATGCAAAAGACAGAGAAGTGTTGGCAGCATCTGTTTCACGGCGTCCAGGGGAGGTGCAGGGTTCTTATTGCGGCACAGGTTTGACAGGGTCCAGGTGACGTTCCTCAGGTAACCAGACTACAGAAGAAGACAGACTGGTTGGTCAGGAAAAATTACTGAAGCTCTGATGCCACCTACTGGTAAAGTATGCCCACTACAATTTCAATAGCAGTTTAAAACCAATAGTAAACCATAAATTTTTTTTTTTTTTAAATGCGA